AACGCTATGAGGATAATAAAGTAAGGTTTATTAGTGTATATATTTCATATTATGCAAGATTCATATATAGAATGTATGAATACACAATATAACAAAAAAATATATGTATCTTATGCTATAGCAAATTGTAAACACGATTCGCAAAAAGATTTAATAGTATTTCAATAGTACTGTAATGAACGAACATTCAGGTGGGGACAACCAATGTATTTTTAATACAAAGTTACAGAGTATCTTGGTAAAATATGAGAACCATATGTCTGTTGACATAAGTAGCATACACTACAGTATTAACCTCAGTTTTTCTTTAAATTTATGAAACAAATGGAATAGTAACGTCTCAGTTAAATGTAAAACTATGCATGAGGAAAACCCTAATAAATTAATTTCCTCATATTTCATTCATTTTTATACTAACATAATCGTGTCATTTTTTGATCGATTACTATTCTCATTTGCATTTAATATTCCACTATGAAGATAACCTTTAACTCCATCCCAATTCCTTCAAGGGTTATTACCGATCCCAAGACTGGGTAAAGGAGAAGGCATGAGCATTGAGTTAGAAACCTCCAGCCTGTAAAATGAAACCTTGATAAAAAGGCGTTAATTTAGACGAACTATTAGTCTTCCAAATTTCATATAATTTCTCGTTGATCTGATGACTCCGTTTATTTAGTTATTCCATCCACTAATATTAATGATAACCAAAGAATTTCACTCATTATAAACTTGTATACTCATAAATTAACCTGTCAACATATCAGTTATTTCATATGAATATACGATTACACAAATTTAAAAAAAAAATAAAATGATTGTAAAAATCTATCTTCACTGAATGATTTAGTTGGGAAAATGAAATTTACCTTAATTTGTTTTAATCTTTGTTTAATTAAGTTTCCATTAAGTTTTGAAAATGATATTTGGTTTTTATCATTTGTATTGATATTTGAATTGACTACTGTTATGCCATGAGTATCTGGTACTGAATTATGAATTGAACTTGTTCTAGACATTCGATGTCTACCACGTAGACTAGTTTGAGATTCTCGTCGTCTACCCATTGCACGTAAACCAGATCCAAGTGTCTGTAAATCAACTGGAGGTTGATATGTTTTGGGTAAATTAGCCTGACGTAAACGTTGCAATTTGATTGGCGGTTTCGTTTCAATCAACTCTAAATTATTACCTAATTACAAAGAAAATGAAAGGGAAATAGGGGAAGTCAGAGAGGTATGGAGCAAAAAAATCAAACATTTTATTCACTTTCGACGGAGTGGTTTTAAGGAGGGCAGTTTAATTTGTAGACAGTATTCGATACGAATCGACCTCATTTAGGATATCATTGGAAATCTAGAGCAATGGGCAGCTATCTTGACATGGCATAAGACTCCTTTTTAGTGGGTGCCCAAGAAACAGAACATTTGTGGTGAGAAAGGATAGAGTTTAGTTTGTATGTACGATAATAGTGTAAAATGTGAATAATATCAGACATGGTAGCTTAGATAGATAGTTTCTTTGTACTATTTTAACTTGGGTTAGTTTTAATTTAGTTATTTATTCTCTGAAGAAGTGGCTTACACTGAGTCACGAAACGTCAGAAAATCTAATTTTTCTACTCATTGGGATATCACAAATATATTAATTTATTTATAATAATCTACACAATGCTCAATTTATTCGAAATTATCAAGTCAAACCTTGGTAATGATACCTACAATGATTTGAGTAGAATAAGATGAATCCATTTTATTTCATTAGGCTCTTGTCGACTACTAATAACCTATAATATGTTAACATCAAACTTCTGCATAGAAGTAAATGTGCTTATACAATGTAATAATTATTTTGCTCAAATATTTGTGATACTATCTCCGTCTAGAGCCCTTCTAAGGTTACTGCCGGTCCAAAGGACAGATAAAAAAGTGGAGGTTTGGAGATAGAGTTCGTAATCCCATTTTGTGTTTTAAGCGTAGAAAAAGCAATAGCGAACAGAATTCTGTACATAAACGTATACATAAAAGAGTTAATTATTTGGAACCTTAAATTCTCATAGCTTTCACTCACCATTGAGATCATAATCATAATAATAATTAACTGTCTCGGCCATATCAAACAAGTTTATTCTTTAAAAAACATTTCGACACGACAAAACATCGAATAGAAGAAATGAAGTGATAATATTCAAGAGAAATAGAGTAATTTTAAAAATACAGACAAAAGAATTTCTTGACCCTTAAAAATATTATTTTACTTTGTTACTAAATTATTTCTATTCTGATCATTGCTATTATTAGCATCAATTTTAATTTGAAATACTTTTATATTTTCCATATGGCTTATTAAGGATTCATGTATTTTGTTGTCTATAAAACAATACTGTTTTTCTACTCCATACCCATGTGAGTCTTTTCAGTTTATTTATTTATTTAAACTCAAACACTGGTATACAAGAAAGTACCAAATAGATATGTGCCACATAAATCATTCGATTTGTGTGAGGGCTGGGATACTGCCCGGGTGCCCAAACCGAAGCAGGTAGTTTTCCTAGGGAGGTCATTCCCCAGGCATTTAACTTAAATGCCTGATCCACAAGGCAGTGGAGCAACGTCAAGAAATGCAGTCACATGGTAGCTGGTGACCAACAATTGGTTCACACGTCATTTGTTCCTTCAGGACTCTCCGCGTCCACCAACCCCGCTTAAAGAGACGGATATTCGCTTTTCGTCCTCTCGATTTCGTAAACAACAGCAATGCCACAAGAAAGCAGTAAGTAGAACTTCGCTGGCAGTGGTTGTATGCACGTGGTCATGTGAGGGCATTTCGAGAGGGAGAGCTGACTCTCCACACTCTCGGCCGTACCAGGGCATTTGGGGGTAGTTTTTCCAGTATACTATGATGACGGTCTTTTTAAAAAAAACCTAGTGAACTTGAGGATTAGGTATTTGAAACAGCATCATCACGTAGTTTGGTAGTTATAGATAGCACGGAAAATGGTATTAGAATTATCGTTGATTTCGTTTAAGATGTCAGAAACTTACCAGTTTACTTTACATGATTGTATGATTCTCAACTCAAATTGTAAATATTGTCGAACATTGATTACAATTTTATGACTTATGGTAAGTTATGGTCAAGGAAAACTTTATAAACTGGTAAGAAAGTCCTCACTTCTTTATTTTTTCTATTGTCCTAAATACGATCTAATTAGTGTATCGGCTTCCGAGAATAATGTTTAGTTTCCATCGGTTAAAAACTTTATTTTATGTGTAAAGATTATCAAAATTGACAGTTAAAATCAGAGACATCATCACTAGTCTATTTAGGCCGGAAGTCAACTCATGAAGAACTGAACGGAGTGGGGAAAAAACGGTTATAGGATATCATATGAAATCGCTGAATACAGCAGAAAAAAAAGTATACTACTTGCCGGCGGAATGAAGTGATATAATGATTGTTGACGCTACGACTCTTAGTGCTTGTAATGTTTCATCACCCGGTGGAACAGGAACTAAAACTTTGTTGAAAAGTCTTGTATCCGGTTGAAGAAATTCAAGAAAATGATACGTAGTCTTGGGTATTTTAATTGCCTGTTTGAAATTACGAATTCCAGAGCTGTTGTTATCACGGGCAACAGTAGCAGCACAACCCCCACTACTTACATCTCTTTCATGTTCTGAGCAACGCCCTTCTGAATTTGAACGACCGGTTGGAAGTATCGACTTGAGTTGACCAGTGTTTATTTTATTTTCATTACCGATGAAACTCGCAGTGGAGACATGAGCAATACGACCAAATAAAACATCTGCTCGAGACATCCGGTCAATGTGACTCGAATTCTGTAGAGTTATACGATAAATAAACGAAATCTAACAATAACATTTTATATCTAGGTGAAAATCAATATAACATAGGATAAGTAAGTGTGAATTTGTACTATATCTTATTCTCAATATTTAGTATATGTGGAGAGTAACCAGCACTTTTCTGTTCATCTAATGAGTAAATGCCTCTTATAAGAGCATAACTTTAACTGATGCTTTCCTTTCAAGTTCTAACCTTCGCCTTATTTGCTTTTTTCATCCATAATTTATAGTAACCTGCAGTGGCGTGTTCAGAGAAAATATCTATCATTAACTTAAGATGATTAAAATGAAGTATTCAGTGAAACTTGAACTCTAATACGCAGCGATAACACACTAGACAAACGAAGAAATTATAATAATTGAATCCAAGAGTCGATTAAACCTAGACCACCATTGAGAACCAGGAAGTACTGAACGGCCGTTGCTTCCTAGTATGAGACTCCTCAGCAGCGCGCAGGACTCGAACGAAGGACCTCGGGTATCGCACGCGAACGTTTACCGTCTAGACAACTGAGTCGGTAAGTAATCTGGATAATGCCTAACGAAGAAATGTTCGAAAATGATAAATATTTCACTTGTATTGAAAAATAAATAAAAGGTGAATATTCACAAACCATAACATTCAAAGATTTGATTAAATAATTATCTGTTTAAAATATATTGAAAAATCTTATTACTTCTGTAATTTATCCGTTTTTCATACCAACATTCACTGTTTAACACATTTCTTCAATGAGGTGTAACGAAGGAGAAAGCAGCATAATTAACACCAACTTTGTGGAGAAGTGAGTTATCGAAACTTGGCTAAAACTTTTGTATTACATAATTTAATTACCACCAACACTAAGGATTTACCGTCGAGTAAAGATGTGGAAGAGAAACAAATCCCTCAGTTAAATCCTATCATTATTCGAATTCGATATGAGTATGACTCTCGCCTGATCTATTTCGGTTTGGGTGGCCGGGTATCATTGCTAGTACTCACAGAAGCGTTGTGGCTCAAAGTTCACTATACAGATATGAGCTGGGCTAATGTAGCACTGGGAAGTAGTGGGATACCAATCTAACTGATTTTACGAATTAACTAAACTGTCATAGAGACAGGTAGTAAATTCTTACAGAAAACAAAAAGAATATGAAGGTTTTATTTTATTCCTTTGTATTTTTATAACACATATATACATAAATTAAACTGATTCAGTGTCATACAACGCTTGACGAAGACATTTTACAAACATATAAACATCTTCAAAACTATTATACAATGGTATCGGTGTAATACGCAGAAAATTCGGCAGTCTATAATCACATATTGCACCTAATCTCAATAAATTTTCATATAGTTTTTTAACGTTTACATGATTAAAACTCAATGTCAACTGTGCTCCACGTTCCTCTGAACTCGACGGTGTAACTATACTATATTGATCACTAGTTAGAGCTAATGGACTCTCTGTAATTAGATATTCAAGGTAATTGGTTAGTTTGATTGATTTCTCTCTTAAATTATTCATACCACCACATGACTTGATAATACCGATACTGACCGTTAAAGCTGCAGCCAATAATAATGGTGGATTAGACAATCGGTAGGCATCAGCACCTTTCGCTAATTCCATATGTCCAGTCAAATCGAATCGCGTTTCAGTTCTATGGCTCCACCAACCGGTTAGTTGGGGACCAGATATATCAGTAATTATTGTATTATCACTACTATTGATATCGTTGGACTCATTAAATTTCGGTCCATAACTTGATTCTTGATGATGATGTTTTTCATGAATAAACAATCCTCCCATAGCACCGGGACTACCGTTTAAATATTTATATGAACACCATACAGCCATATCAACATCCCAATCATGCAGAAATAAAGGAATATTACCAACAGCATGTGCTAAATCCCATCCTACTGGACATTTACAGTATTGATGACCCCATTCAGTAATTAATTTCATATTGAATAATTGTCCTGTAACGTATTGTACTCCTGGTAACCAAATCAATGCAATTCTATGTTGATTTTTTTGGATTTCGTGCAAAATATCTTCATTTCTTAAACAATATTCATTAATACGTGGTTTCAATTTAATAATACAATCATTCGGATTTAAACCATGCCAATTAATTTGTGATTCAAGCACATAATAATCACTTGGAAAGATTCCATCTTCAATTAGTACACAGTGTTTCGCACCTTTTGGTCTGTAGAATTTAGCAATTAATGCATGCATATTCACTGTTAAATTACAAGTAATACTAACTTCACTTGGTTTAGAGTTAACAATCCATTGAGCACAATCAATGGATAATTGTTTATCACAATGTGATGCTGGCAATTCACCATAATGATAGGCTAATACACCTAAATCTCTCCATTGATTTAATATGTCATTTAAATAAGCATTTAAACGTCTTGGTTGTAATCCCATGGAATTTCCACAAAAGTATATAATTTTCTTTGAATGATTTTCATCGTTTTTATCAGTTAAATGTTGATTATGTTCAGTAGAATTGGATTGAACTGTTTTCATTACTTGATTATAGTCTGGTAAATAAAATTCTGATTGGTATGAGTGTAGTGAATCATGCTCGTCTAATTTTATGGCGAAATCGATCGAATCAAAATCCACTTGGTATTTATTGGCTAAATATTTCAACTCTTCAATAGAACTGGACATTAGTGTACAGTGAAGCGGAACCAAGTGAATCTATATCACACTTTCTGAATTCATTAAATTTATGTTAACCAGAGTATATGAATGCAAATATCTGATTGGTTGTTTAATAATAGGTATAATAGATTGAGTCTATTGGCTGAACTGAACTATACAAGTATAATTGCATGTCCTTCCTTAAATATGACCGATTAGTTAGTGAGTTATGGTTAGACAGATATAATTTTGTCTACTGTGTTCTGATTGGATATTTGAACGAATGAGCTTGTAAGAAAGTATAAACCCATCTTTGTTTATGATAAAATTACCCAAAGTAGTAGCCATATTGACTGGGAAATAATGTTTTCAAACTGTTCATTGTATGAGTTATGTGAAAATAGTCAAGTAATTTTAAGACTTAGTTTCTATTCTGTTATAATTCTCCACATTGGGTTGACAATTATTGCACGACGGTTGGTCACAGCTTCTTACTAGAATCCTAGGAAATACCTCTTAAAGCAAGTCACTACTGAGCACATGACGATTATTATCAGAAAAGGGTTTTGTGGAGATTGTAGTAACTTAATAGTTGAATTCATGGGTTGATTAATGCTAGACTACCTTAGAAAACTTGGAAGCACTGGAAGACCACTTCGTGCTAGTATGAGACTCCTCAGCAGAGCGTATCAACTGTCCCGCTCGTGGGATTCCAACTCAAGAACTTCGGTCTCGCACGCGAATGCTTAACCTATAGACCACTAAACCGGCATCGGATGGTGTTGATGTACAACTTTAACCACGGTGGGCTAGGTTTAATCGACCCATGAATTCAACTATTAAGTTACTACAATCTCCACAAAACCCTTTTCTGATAATAATCGTCATGTGCTCAGTAGTGACTTGCTTTAAGAGGTATTTCCTAGGATTCTAGTAAGAAGCTGTGACCAACCGTCGTGCAATAATTGTCAACCCAATGTGGAGAATTATAACAGAATAGAAACTAAGTCTTAAAATTACTTGACTATTTTCACATAACTCATACAATGAACAGTTTGAAAACATTATTTCCCAGTCAATATGGCTACTACTTTGGGTAATTTTATCATAAACAAAGATGGGTTTATACTTTCTTACAAGCTCATTCGTTCAAATATCCAATCAGAACACAGTAGACAAAATTATATCTGTCTAACCATAACTCACTAACTAATCGGTCATATTTAAGGAAGGACATGCAATTATACTTGTATAGTTCAGTTCAGCCAATAGACTCAATCTATTATACCTATTATTAAACAACCAATCAGATATTTGCATTCATATACTCTGGTTAACATAAATTTAATGAATTCAGAAAGTGTGATATAGATTCACTTGGTTCCGCTTCACTGTACACTAATGTCCAGTTCTATTGAAGAGTTGAAATATTTAGCCAATAAATACCAAGTGGATTTTGATTCGATCGATTTCGCCATAAAATTAGACGAGCATGATTCACTACACTCATACCAATCAGAATTTTATTTACCAGACTATAATCAAGTAATGAAAACAGTTCAATCCAATTCTACTGAACATAATCAACATTTAACTGATAAAAACGATGAAAATCATTCAAAGAAAATTATATACTTTTGTGGAAATTCCATGGGATTACAACCAAGACGTTTAAATGCTTATTTAAATGACATATTAAATCAATGGAGAGATTTAGGTGTATTAGCCTATCATTATGGTGAATTGCCAGCATCACATTGTGATAAACAATTATCCATTGATTGTGCTCAATGGATTGTTAACTCTAAACCAAGTGAAGTTAGTATTACTTGTAATTTAACAGTGAATATGCATGCATTAATTGCTAAATTCTACAGACCAAAAGGTGCGAAACACTGTGTACTAATTGAAGATGGAATCTTTCCAAGTGATTATTATGTGCTTGAATCACAAATTAATTGGCATGGTTTAAATCCGAATGATTGTATTATTAAATTGAAACCACGTATTAATGAATATTGTTTAAGAAATGAAGATATTTTGCACGAAATCCAAAAAAATCAACATAGAATTGCATTGATTTGGTTACCAGGAGTACAATACGTTACAGGACAATTATTCAATATGAAATTAATTACTGAATGGGGTCATCAATACTGTAAATGTCCAGTAGGATGGGATTTAGCACATGCTGTTGGTAATATTCCTTTATTTCTGCATGATTGGGATGTTGATATGGCTGTATGGTGTTCATATAAATATTTAAACGGTAGTCCCGGTGCTATGGGAGGATTGTTTATTCATGAAAAACATCATCATCAAGAATCAAGTTATGGACCGAAATTTAATGAGTCCAACGATATCAATAGTAGTGATAATACAATAATTACTGATATATCTGGTCCCCAACTAACCGGTTGGTGGAGCCATAGAACTGAAACGCGATTCGATTTGACTGGACATATGGAATTAGCGAAAGGTGCTGATGCCTACCGATTGTCTAATCCACCATTATTATTGGCTGCAGCTTTAACGGTCAGTATCGGTATTATCAAGTCATGTGGTGGTATGAATAATTTAAGAGAGAAATCAATCAAACTAACCAATTACCTTGAATATCTAATTACAGAGAGTCCATTAGCTCTAACTAGTGATCAATATAGTATAGTTACACCGTCGAGTTCAGAGGAACGTGGAGCACAGTTGACATTGAGTTTTAATCATGTAAACGTTAAAAAACTATATGAAAATTTATTGAGATTAGGTGCAATATGTGATTATAGACTGCCGAATTTTCTGCGTATTACACCGATACCATTGTATAATAGTTTTGAAGATGTTTATATGTTTGTAAAATGTCTTCGTCAAGCGTTGTATGACACTGAATCAGTTTAATTTATGTATATATGTGTTATAAAAATACAAAGGAATAAAATAAAACCTTCATATTCTTTTTGTTTTCTGTAAGAATTTACTACCTGTCTCTATGACAGTTTAGTTAATTCGTAAAATCAGTTAGATTGGTATCCCACTACTTCCCAGTGCTACATTAGCCCAGCTCATATCTGTATAGTGAACTTTGAGCCACAACGCTTCTGTGAGTACTAGCAATGATACCCGGCCACCCAAACCGAAATAGATCAGGCGAGAGTCATACTCATATCGAATTCGAATAATGATAGGATTTAACTGAGGGATTTGTTTCTCTTCCACATCTTTACTCGACGGTAAATCCTTAGTGTTGGTGGTAATTAAATTATGTAATACAAAAGTTTTAGCCAAGTTTCGATAACTCACTTCTCCACAAAGTTGGTGTTAATTATGCTGCTTTCTCCTTCGTTACACCTCACTGAAGAAATGTGTTAAACAGTGAAAGTTTAAGGCGTTGTGTAGCACTAAATAAAAAGTGAATGTTGGCTTAGAACTTTTCATTAAAAGAAATTCACAATTCCTCACGATGTCGAACTCAGATGTTTCATTTTTGAGGTATGTTCTATTTACTTGTCGTTCTCAGTTGGCATTTAATGTTTCATATCGCTGAATTCATTTGTCATAATATATTATGTGAAAATGGTCTGATTCTATCAACGACCTATTTGGCTTACTTGTGATCTGATCTACATTTATTCTTTCAAACTTTTTATTGATAAGTTAAAGTTTTGATGACTACTAATTAAACTTAAGCTGGATTTCTCGAGTTTTTACTGAGAAACTATGATTAGTCAAGTTAAGACAAATCAGAAGTGATATATTTGTTATACATAGTGTTTAATTATGATTATGATACATTATAAGCTTTAAAAAATTGCAGAACTGAAGATCCCACACTGTTATTGAGATAGAAAACTAAAGTAACTATGCTATGCAGTTTAGTTGTAGCCTATATCAATTCTTTACGGTAGCTAATGTAACAGTTTAATCAGATTTATTAATGAAAAAGTATGCATGACGTGGGTCTGATTGTTTTTGAGTAAGAAGAAAAGCAATAAATGAATCACAGAGACAAATTAGAACCAAATTTAGGATTAATTAATATTTAAAGCTAAATGACTTTAAATGATACATTTATGTTTAAGGCGTTAAAAATACGATACTTATGCGTTTTCCCTGATGTTGATGTAATTTTGTACCTTTCAGAAGAGAAGGGATTTTACAAAATGGTACTATGGCTTTATAGTCTGTGCTGTAAGTAACGGTGATGACAATGAAATTTTAAGGACACCTGTCGATTGCATGGTTTTTAGTTTTATGGTATATTTGTGTAGTAATTATGTGAGTAAACTTTATTTCTCTATGTAAATCATCTGGTGTAACAGTATTTATGAAAAATACAGCATATTTGTGACTGAAAGAGGCTAAATTAAGAGTAGTGAACATCTCAGGCTGTTAGTTGGCAAGTTAGGAGTTACCTTTACTTAAGATTTTGATTCATTTCGGTATATGGTTGGAATAAATATCCTACTGGTTAGCTGAACTTTTTATTAAATCTACCAGCCTATAAAAAGTACGTGAAGTGTCTTGCTTTTGTTAAATATTAGTTCTTCACAGTCATACGCTATGCTTTTGCCCGTGGTATTCTTATGGCTGAATGAGACATGGTATTAAGGGGAGATTGGATTAGCTGTAAATAAGTATTACCTAGTGCTACTAAGTCGTGATTATATCAATAGGGAATCCTATCATACTAAAACTAGGTATTGAACATCACAATCTATATATCACACCTTTTAGAGGAACGATTTATTTGCGGATGTCGCTGATACGCTCGTCTACATATGCTTGAAACCACTAAATATATCATTCAGTAGCAAATTTCTTGACCAAAATTCGTCTACGAATGTATTGTAGCGGTGGTAAAATTGGAAAGACTTAAATGAAGACTTTTACACGCAGTTTAATGCATATTCTTTACTTACACCGTCTTTGCTTAGTGTATATATATGTGCACAAATATCCTATGAAATGTTAATCGACTTATCTACGTCAAAATTACTTTTGATAGTTTACAATTAAACTTTAGGTTCGATTCGTTTGAAGCTCCCATTAAGTTTTATTGAGTTTATGATTTGGTTATTGAATTGTCCTTCACCTTGCTACATTTACTTCCAGATTAATATTTTACAAAACTGTTACACTTTTGTTTTTATTGTTTCGTTCAACACTGATTGATGAGA